TCAATTTTGCTAAATAAAATGTAGGAACACGAGGAAACCAATGTACGTTCTCCCAACTTTGTTCATTCTATCTTAAACGCAAAACATCATTTAAAAACAAATAACATCATTTATAATATGGCATTTTTATAAACCAGGCAAAAGTTTAATGACTGTTTAAAATAAACTAAGCTACTTACTAAGCCAAATGCTTCTTAACTAGTTGTAATAACTTAAATGCTACCAATCATAACATTTTAAACTTGAAACCTTAAAAAGGAAAAGAAACACACCTTCAAAATAATACCAAAAGACATGTTTTGAGCTTTTAATTTAAAAATAGTTAAAACAGGAGTTGGCATTTAAAAAGACAAGACAGTAATTAAATCATAATAATTGTGTTCCTTTTCATTTGTCGTAATAAATCCTTTTTCTTTGGGAGTATTCTTTTTAATGCTTATTTCTTAGCAAAGAAAAATTACACACACAAAAAAAGAAGAGGTTTTTCAACATAAAAAATGCATTCGGGGTCTCCTTGGGAGCTATAAACAAGGGGTGCACTTTTTCAGTGACAACACGAACGTGTAAAACTGATGAAGCGGAAATTGCAGCTGATTCTTACATGTTTATGCATATGGTGACACAAACACAAGCACTTTATCTTGAAGGCTCGAGAGGATATTTCCACTTTTGACCTGTGAAGAACAAAAACTAGGACAAAGCTCTCTGCATCTTTAGCAGAGAAATCACATCGGTTTGAAATAACAGCAATGCAACTGAGAAATGATCTGACCTACGGTTTGACTATCCACAATTCTTCAATTCACAGGTACAACACACTTTGGCTGTCCCTTTTAAAGGCATAGTGTGGTGTGTGTGTGTGTGTGAGTGTGTGTGTTGCGTTGATTGTTTTTTCTTTTTATTCTGGAAAACTCTTAACATAAGGTTTGATCTAAGGATTAGAACTTGCATCTGCCTGCACAGGAATCCCCTAAGTTCTGTCATTCTGCCACGAAAGCCAGGCTTCTTAGCACTCCTCAGAATGCTACATGATAAACAGAAAGGAAAAGGCAAAAAAATGAAAAAGAGGAATAGGAAAGGTTGGAGAGAAACGGACAATCTTAAGATTCCCTTCCATTCTATTAAATGAGAATATAATGACTTGTGCTCACAGGTAACTCAACATATTTCTGAATTCAGACATGAAATGATGTTCATTTTGGTTTATCAAACATGAAATGTATACCTGGTAATATTTATACATAAATCTAAATTTGTATGAATATTGTCCTGTTTTCAGGGTGGGTTGGGTGATTATTTTGTCATCAAATCATTATTTTGTATTCACCCACTGTGGATAATGTTTCCTGTGGCTTGATTTGCTTGTTTTTGCATATGAACACCATAATTTTTTTTTTTTTTTTTTTTTTTTTGGGACAGAGTCTCACTTTGTTGTCCAGGCTAGAGTGAGTGCCGTGGCGTCAGCCTGGCTCACAGCAACCTCAAACTCCTGGGCTCAAGCGATCCTCCTGCCTCAGCCTCCCGAGTAGCTGGGACTACAGGCATGCACCACCATACCCAGCTAATTTTTTTTTTTATATATTAGTTGATGAATTAATTTCTTTCTATTTATAGTAGAGACGGGGTCTCGCTCTTGCTCAGGCTGATTTCGAACTCCTGACCTCGAGCAATCTGCCCGCCTCGGCCTCCCAGAGTGCCAGGATGACAGGCGTGAGCCACCGCACCCGGCCCTGAACACCATAATTGCAATGAAAGAAATACTCTCAGACCTCTGAGTCCATATCAGTATGCATTTCAATACTAAATTCAGTAAAAGTTAACAGCAATTTGCAAGGGAAACACTAACTATGAAATAGAGACTTGATACAAATAGGAAAGCTTGGAGCATTATATCGAAAATGCTAAGTTATCAATTTGGAAGTGGCAGAAAAACTTAAATCAATTTTGTAGCCAGTTCATCTTTTAAAGATTGGAATTTTCAACACAAGTCATGATTTCTGAGATCTGTATTAGAGAAAAACTCAGCAAGGAAAATACTGTCAGCATTTCTAGTGACTCTGCTGTCCAAAGCCTCAATCTCAAGGCACACAAAAACACTGTCACGTTTTGCTATTAGAAGTGCCTTCTCTCATTCTCCAATGGAACACCACAGTCGTGTGCATTAAACAGAATGTGCAAAGAAATGAGTAAAGGAGGAAAGAGAGGAGAGAAGAGAGAACAGAGGGCAGAACAGGGGGAAAAAAGCAGCTCACATTCTTCCCAGTATGAATTCAAAATGCCATACAGGCAACACAACGTTTGGCGAACTTCAGACCAAAGATCGAATGTTCTAGAAGTCCACTGAATTAAAATTTGTGGCTCCCAGATTTCAAAGGTGTTAATGTAGTTTTCTGGGAACTATCAAAGGCAGAGAACATACTGCCACATGGCAATATCCTAGCCGTAGAAAATAATTAGCACTTTCAGGCAGCAGGGATTGGAAGAGCAAATTTTTTTTTCTAAATTCTCTACCAAACTCAACTAAAATTTCAGGATACAACACAAGAATTCCAAGGGAGAAAACCATACCAGTTTCTAAGGTTTTCACTGTCTCATAATTCATCAGGCTATAATGTCCTAGGGTTTTAAATTTCCCTTTGCTGGGAACTTTCTTCTTGATGTACATACCAGCACCCGTAGTTGAAACCTGACTCTCACGAAAAAAAATGAGGCATTGTTATATTTGAAATCTTTACAGCAGATATTTTGTGGGACACCCTAAAAGAGGAAAGGAACTTCTTTTGGTTTGTGAGCCATCAACAAATCTGAGTGACATTTTGGAGTTTTACTGGCCATTCTGAAGAATTAGGAAAAAAAACTAGTATGGAAGTCAGGAAATTATGTTCACATCCTGACGTTTTTTACTAAAACTCTATTTGTAGGTATATAGGATGCATTTTCCCCTGCGTAAAAGACAGTTCAGAATTGCTCCATATCCTATGTGCCCAGATTAGGGATGGAAGGCTGGTACTAAAGTTGTAAAATAACGAATGATGTCACCTCTAGTGGCGAAATGAGGAAACATAAAATATAACATCAAAAATAAGAGTTTCACATCATAATGGCAGTCTCCTTAACAAAAATGACAAACCACAGGCCACCCAAATGGTCAGAAGGAAAGTATGGGGTATTACCCTAACATTTTAGATTTAAATTAGTTACTACATAATGATGCTACATACCAATAATGATGGATATTTATATATTTCTGTGTGGTGCTGAGATTTTCATATGCTTTTTCAACCTAAGACTTTTTCTGCTGATATAGACACCTGACTTCCTACTGGATTCCAATGTATAATAACACATTTACATTAGCAAGATAATATTTTTCACTTTATACTTTCAGATCACTTTCTATATTTGACAAAAGGTATTTAATATTCTTATTTCCAAAAATTTCTCTGTATAAAAGGATGCATCTTACAAAGAACTGCGTGTCTTATAGAACAGCAATTCTATTGGGTATGTTCATTTCTTTGTGTTACAATTTTCTTATTTACCTTATAAAGGTGATACAGGCCCCTACTAAATTCACCAGGCTGTTGCAAACACCAAGGAGATCATTTATGCAGAAATCATTTGAGATAAATAAAGCATTATGCAAAACGTCCCTACGCTGATACCAGCGATAGGAGCAACTAGGGATCAATCGAAACAGAATATAGAACTTCCTCACTGTAGCCAGGTGATAAGATCTACAAGGTTCCCTGTCTTACAGCTGGGTAACCCCAGGGAAAAGTTTAAAGAGAACTTTCTAAGGCTATCAGGAAGCTGAATTTTCTTGCCAATGGAATCAGCCGAGCTATTAATATTTATATCGGATGCATTAAATTTGAAGTTGGCCTTTGATTTCCACCCATTGCCCAAAAGTTGAAAGAAGAGAGAAGACCACACCTATTGACTTTTGAGAGATCAAATGTCTTTGTGGGTAAACACAAAATCACAACTCTTGCTAAAGAGGCCCCGTGGGTTTAATACAATTACTGAATTTCCTTTCAGAAACCGCTGTTGCATAGAAATTTCTTATGATTTAGTCCTCCACATATCCAATTTTTCTTGAGATACACCTCCAGATACATGCTTGATCCTTTAACACTGTCCAGTTAGCTGAAATCTGAATGCTTCTCTCAGATGAATTTTAAATAAAATGATGTAAACATAATCAACTCGTCTAACTTTTTAGTCTCCTACATAAAAAAAATCTCAACAAAAGGGTTGGCTTTTATTGAGGCGACCTGTTTTATGTTTTAGATAGCCATATCTAAACAGAAAATACAAAAGTAGGAAAAAAAATGCTAGAAGGAACTACATTAAAATGGTAACAATTGTTTCCACTGGTTGGTAAGATTATGACTAATCTAATCTTGATTTGGTTCCAATGGCCCATATTTTCTCTCTCTATTTTTTATTGTGTTCTCAGCCATGATCAATCAAGAAGGCCCACATTTTCTACAAGTTTGCTTCATAAGTATATATCACTTTGATAACCAACGTGTGGGAGAGCCAATTGCATAGAAACTGACCCAGGAATGCTAGATAAATATATATAACATCTCAGACGCCACTGAAATAAATGGTCTCAGACACTTAACAGGAATTGGAAGGCTCAGAAAAGTTCCTTTTCACAGCTGGCTCGATCTGCTTGAACAAGGTTAAGTGCATAATCATGTGGTTTTTTTTTTTTTAGAAGTAGGGTCTCATTCTGCCTCTGTAGCCTAGGCTGGACTTAAACTTGTGGCCTCAAGCCATCTTCCTGCCTCAGCCTTCCCAGTAGCTGGTGTTGTGCCCATTGTTTTGTTTGTTTGTTTTTAAACAGAGATAAATAGCATTTAGGAAACAAATAAAGTAAAGCATATTCCCTTATAAGGGCAACTCATTTAGCAAAATTTAACAAGGCGTTTTAAACTCAACAGTCATGGAGCACCATTAAAATAGTCACACAGAAAGATCCAGGCAGCTTAAAGATGAATATTTCCTTGATCATGAAGACACCCCATTGATTTGCAACAAGACAAATTATTCAGTGCATCTGGTTGGGGCCGACACGGATGATGACGTGTCTCTCATAAGCCCTTTTCATTGTTTTCTCGATCTGCTTCAGAAAAACTTGTGGGATTCGCCCACATAAAGTGTGCACGGTCTCTAGAAACTTCAGCTGAAGGGGGTAGTACATAGATTGAAAGAGATTGTCTTGAAAGGGAAACTGAAAGATACAAAAAAAAAAAGGAAAAAGCTTACGTTAGTTACTGAAATTCCATTTTAAATGCAAATCACTTTTACTGAGAAATGACACAGCATTTACTGTAAGCACCCAGGCGTGGGATTCTGTGTTCTTAAACAAGCCCTTGGGATCTAAGTTCAAATCCTGACTCAGCCCGTGCAAACCCAGGCAATCATTTAACATGTCTGGACCTCAGCTTCTTTACTTCTTTAAAAAAAAGAAAAGAAAAAGATTTACTTGGGTCCTTAAGGCTCTTAAATTTTAAAATCAGGCCGGGTGCGGTGGCTCACGCCTGTGATCCTAGCATTCTGGGAGGCTGAGGCAGGCAGATCGCTCGAGGTCAGGAGTTTGAAGCCAGCCTGAGCGAGACCCTGTCTCTACCAAAAATAGAAAGAACTTAATCAACCAACTAAAAAAATATGTATATACAAAAAAAAAAAAAATTAGCCGGGCATGGTGGCGCATGCCTGTGGTCCCAGCTACTTGGGAGGCTGAGGCAGGAGTATCCCTTGAGCCCAGGAGTTTGAGGTTGCTGTGAGCTAGGCTGAGGCCACAGCACTCACTCTAGCCTGGGAAACAAAGACTCTGTCTCAAAAAAAAAAATTTTTTTTTTAAATCAAAGCATATCTTTACGGACAGGATAAGTCTATATATATAGCATGCTCATGCTGAGTGGAAGGAAGACTCTAGCAGATAGATACTCAATTGACATCTACTACAACAAAACACTGAATTCTTCATATTTTTTGCCTTTGCAGCAATCTTTTTCCATTTTTAAAATTTACATATTTATTTTATTTTCTTTCTTTATTTTTATCATTTTTTTTTTAAGAGACAGGGTCTTGTTCTGTTGCCCAGGCTAGAGTGCAGTGGCACAATTATGGCTCATTGTAACCTCAAACTCCCGGGTTCAAGTGATCCTCCTGCCTCAGCCTCCCAACTAGCTAGGAGTACAGGCGTGCACCACCACACTCTGCTAATTTTATTTTATTTATTTATTTATTTTTGAGACAGAGTCTCACTTTATTGCCCAGGCTAGAGTAAGTGCCATGGCATCAGCCTAGCTTGCAGCATCCTTGATCTACTGGGCTCAAGCGATCCTCCTGCCTCAGCCTCCCGAGTAGCTGGGACTACAGGCATGCGCTACCATGCCCGGTTGATTTTTTGTGTATATATTTTTAGATGGTCAATTAATTTCTTTCTATTTTTAGTAGAGATGGGGTCTCGCGCAGGCTGGTTTCGAACTCCTGACCTTGAGCAATCCGCCGGCCTCAGCCTCCCAGAGTGCTAGGATTACAGGCGTGAGCCACCGCGCCGGCCTCTGCTAATTTTATTTTTAAATTTTCTGTAGAGATAGGGTCTTGCTATGTTGTCCAGGTTGTTCTCAAATTCTTGGGCTCAAGCAATCCTTCTGCCTCAGCCTCCCAAAGTGCTGGGATTACAGGTGTGAGGCTCTGAGCCCTGCCTGAGGCAATCTGGATGCAGAAACTGTAGGGTGTGTCTATGGTGATCTCATAAAGCCCAGAGTTTAGCATTTACTCGTGCAATTTATTAGCAATGAACTTTAACAATTCGGGGACCAAATATTGGTGGTTGTTTATTTCCCACTTGATATTGGGTCTTGGAGGTTGTTCTTCTATTTTTAAAATTCTCTTGTTTGCTCATGGAATTTGTCCATGAGCAGTATTTTTCAAAATAAATCATTCAGACGGCTTAGTTATGAGCATGTGTCAAAGTTCTATTACAATCTCATTGAAAGTGAAAAGGCTGTTAGTAGATCAAGCCAAAGATCCATTCTTGACAAGGACATTTTATATGAAAAGACTAGAAAGAAAAAAAGGGAGAGAAGAATGGTTAAAAGTCAGCACACTCTTTCTGATGACAGAATGGGTGGGGGGTGTCTGGTTTCTTAGAACAAGTCTTAATCTCTTTAAAGTTCATCGGAAATATTGCTTAAGCACGTTTATTGGAAATGTCAATTTCTACCCAGAAGATTATGCATTATATAATGCAAGAATGTTCTGTCCAAGAGGTTTGGGACAATTTTTTTTCATTGTGCAATTGTTTTTAAGAGACAGGGTCTTGCAGCTTTGTCTCCCAGGTTAAAGTGCAGTGGTACAACCATAGTTCACTGCAACCTCAAACTCCTGGGCTCAGTGATCCTCCCACCCCAGCCTCCCAAGCTGTTGGGTCTACAGGTGCATAATACCGCACCTGGCTAATTTTTTAAATTTTTGTAGAGACAGAGTTTCACTATGTTGCCAAGCTGGTCTGGAACTACTGGCCTCAAGTGATCCTCCCACCTCTGCCTCTCAAAGAGCTAGTGTAGGGCAGAGGAATTTGTAGGACAGAGGAATTCTTCCAATTGTCGGGAATTTACTTGGGTGGGGCAATGACGTAACCCAAACCTTTGCTTCTGGTCATTGCCTTGCTGCACCGCTGTAAGGGGAATTATGGGATGAGGTCATTGAAGCACGGGCACTGGCCCATCAGGCAATAGAGGGCAACCAACCCGCCAATTATCCAAAAGCAATAGTGGGCACCAATCATTTTAAAGGTCAACACATGATCCACTGCGTAGTCGGCTGGTGCGCAGCTTGTGCACCATGGGGATAAAAGGCATGCCGTTGTTCCGGTCGGGGTCCTTGCCTGCGAGAGTGGCCACTGCGTTGGTGCTCTGGGGCTTGGACCCTGGCTAGCCAGAAAATAAACCTCCTCTTGTGTGATTGCATCCTCGATGTCTCTGCTTTTCTGTCCGGTGGGGCTGTGGAAGGTCGGTCCCTAACACTAGGATTACAGGCCACTCCTCACCTTGAGATGCAATTTAAACCATTGATAAACACCTTGAGGCCAGGTCTGAATCTGTCCTTTTCACCACTCTATCCCCATCAAGGGGAACAGAATAGGTCAAAACCTTGGAGTCACCCTTGGTTCCTCTCTTTCCCCCACATCCTTCATCCAATCCATCAGCAAGTCCTGTACACTGTCTCGACAATACATCACAAACATGGCCCACTCCTCCCTTCTTCCCATTGCTCAAAAGCTGCAATCAGTCTCACAAATGACCCTGTGTTTTCACTCTTGCACCTCTCTGCTACACGTTGCCAAGGTGATGTTTTTGAAGCATCAGCCCCAGCCTATCACTCTGCCACAGGGGCTTCCATGCCATTAGAATAAGGTTCCAAATCCCCCCTTGTTCTAAAGGCTCAAGGTGACCTGGACCCTTCTCCTCTCAGCTCCTCCTCTCTCCTCTTATCTCCTCATTCCTGTCACCTGTGACCTCTTCCTTGTCCTTTGGGCATACCGAATCCAATCCCTGCCTTTGGGACTTTGCCCTGATTGTTCCTTCTGCTTAGCGGGGTCTTCCCCAGATCTTCCCAGAGCTGCCTCCATCTGACCCTGTCTCAGCCTCACCCAGCCCTTCCCCATGACCCCAACTAGCGAACACTCCTCCCCACCCCGGGCCGCTGGACTCATACCCTGCTCTTTTGATACCTTTCCACCTTTCACTATCTCAGAGGACTTTTTTTCTGTAACCTAACTAGACCAATCTGGCTTAACTATTATGCCATAGAGCTGCGAGGTGTTTTTCAGTTGCCATGGATGCCCAGGTTGAAGGTCACATAACCTGAGCATGCCCAGATGAACCAAGCTTGCAACCATGGGCGGAACCTAAATGCTGCCGTCAAAGAGTGGGGACTGAATTAAGAGGTGGACACCACAAGGTGGGATCCAGCATCCAATCAGATTCAGCCCTGACGTCACATGGCAGCATACTGCCAGAGGATGTTTCCTGGCGTCACCCCTTTGCAAGGTTCTATCATTTTCTTTCTTTCCTTTTTTTTTTTTATATATATATTTTTTACTCTTTTTTTATTTTTTATATTCACTCTTTTTTTTTCACACAAAAGACTTTTTTATCTTTCTTAGGTAGCAGGGTTCTATCAGATCACACTTCGTTTTTACCCTCTGACTATAAAACCAGCCCAAGTCCCTTGTTGGAGGGGACACACTGCTTTGGGAACTGTCCCTGGTGTGCTCCTCACTTGTGCCAAGTCATAAAACCCTCCCTGCTGTATGTAACTAAAGAAAGAGATGAAGGGAGAAAGAGAAAAAATATATACACACACACAGAGAAAAATACGTATAAACAGGAAGAGAGAGACCGTGAGCAAGTGAGAAAATGTGAGCAAGCTAGAGAAAGAGAGAAATGTGAAATGGTATCATCAAAACAACTTCTACTAATTATTGAGCACAACGGTAAGACAGGTGCTGTACTAAAAGTTTAATGACTGTCATTTTATTCAATTCTCATAACACTTTTAGGAAGTAGATAACATTATTATCTCTGGTTCCAGGATGAGGAAACTGAGGCCCAGGAAGGTAAGAGCACAGTTAACGACTTCATCATCAGAAAGTGACAAATTTGGGATTTTTATTTTTAATTTTTAAAATTTTTTTTGAGACAGTCTCACTCTGTTGCCTGGGCTAGAGTGCTGTGGTGTGAGCCTAGCTCACAGCAACCTCAAACTCCTGGACTCAAGCGATCCTCCTGCCTCAGCCTCTCGAGTAGCTGGAACTACAGGCATGCACCACCATGCCCGGCTAATTTTTAGTTGGTCAATTAATTTCTTTCTATTTTTAGTAGAGACAGGCTCTCACTCTTGCTCAGGCTGGTCTTGAATTCCTGACCTTCAGCGATCCTCCTGTCTTGGCCTCCCAGAGCAAATTTGGGATTTGAACCCAGGTTTGTTCAGGCCCAAAGCCAAGCTCTGAGCCACTACATGATGGTGCACAGCATTATAGAAGATAAGGAAATATAATGCATCTTTTATGTATTTACTCACGTTGCGGGTTGGGGTTAGTGATTTTACTGATTGAAATGCCTGAATGAAAACTGTATTTTTAGGCCCAACTTAGGAACATTATTAAGTGCATTATGCAGAATCATTTATGAAACAAAATTGGCTAGGTGCAGTGGCTCATGGCTGTAACCCCAGCACTTTTGGAGGCCAAGGCCGGAGGATTGCTTGAGGCCAGAAGTTTGAGACCAGCCTGGGCAACATAGCAAGACGATGTCTCTAAAGGAAAAAAAAAAAACAACAGAAAAAAACTAGCCAGGTGTGGTGACGTGCACCTGTAGTCCCAGCTCCTTGGAAAGCTGAGGTGGGAGGATTCTTTGAGCCCAGGAGTTCAAGGCTCCAGTGAGCTATGACTGAGTCACTGCACTCCAGCCTGGGCAACAACAACAACAAAGAAAAAGAAAAGGAAATTATTCAGCCCTGTTTCTGATTCCCCACCCAGAAAACAAACAAGATAGGTTGTAACTCAAGAGACGCAATTGCTCAATCCAAATCAGGGCTGACAGATGACAAAAGAAACCCGAGAGTGGCTCTGAGGGACACACAGCTGCTGCACACTTATTTAACTTCCACTTGCACTCCTGCATGGGTTTGCCCTGGAGTCGGGGTTTCCATATCTAGACGTGAGGGTATCGTTAAGCACAGAACAAATTTTCTGCACAATTAAATCACCCGGCCTTTCAAAACCAAATAATAGGAAATATGGGAGAAGAAGGAAGTGTGCTTAGATGCATGCTAAAATCTTTCCCTGCACAGAACTCTGGGAATTCCAGAGTTGAAATTCTCTGGGATTCTCCCTAGCAAATGCACATTTGCAAAATTACTATGTCTTGGGATTCACCCCCGACTTCACTGTTGCCAAAGCCTGTTTGTGAAGCCCTGAGGGTTCCTGGATCCTTAGGAAAAAATAAAACTAATAAAGTCTACCTATTGATGTCAGGGGTTGGCAACTTTTTCTGTAAAAGATTAGATAGGGCCGGGCGTGGTGGCTCATGCCTGTAATCCTAACACTCTGGGAGGCCAAGGCAGGAGGATCGCTCAAGGTCAGGAGTTTGAAACCAGCCTGAGCAAGAGTGAGACCCTGTCTCTACTAAAAATAGAAAGAAATTAACTGACCAACTAAAAATATATAGAGAAAAAATTAGCCGGGCATGGTGGTGCATGCCTGCAGTCCCAGCTACTCGGGAGGCTGAGGCAGGAGGATTGCCTGAGCCCAGGAGTTTGAGGTTGCTGTGAGCTAGGCTGACGCCAGGGCACTCTAGCCCAGGCAACAGAGTGAGACTCTCTCTCTCAAAAAAAAAAAAGATTAGATAGTAAATATTTTAGAGTTTGTGGGCCATATGGTCTCTGTCACAACTAATCATCTCTGTCGTTATAGCATTAAAGCAGCCATAAACAATCATAAATGAATGGGTGGCACTCTGTCCCAATTAGGCTTTATTTATGAATGCTGAAATTTGAATTTCATACAGTTTTTTCATGTCATGACATATTATTCTTCTTTTAATATTTTTCCATCTATTTAAAAATGTAAAAACCATTCTTAGCTCACATTTATTTTTTATTTTATTTATTTTTTTGAGACAAAGGCTTCACTCTGTCATCCCGGTTGGAGTACAGTGGCATCACCATAGCTCACTGCAACCTCAAAGTCTGGTACTCAAGCGATCCTCCCACCTCAGCCTCCCGAGTAGCTGGGACTACAGGCGTGCACCACCACGTCCAGTGAATTTTTCTATTTTTTGTAGAGATGGAGTCTCACTATGTTGCTCAGGCTATTCTCGAACTCCTGGCCTCAAGCGATCCTCTAGCATCAGCCTCCCAAAGTGCTAGGATTACAGGTGGGAGCCACCACACCCGGTCAGACCACATATCTTACAAAAATAGGCAGCAGGGCAGATTTGGCCCAAGTTTGCTAACCCCTGCTTTATGTCTTAAATTATGGTTTCAAAAGGGTACTCTATAAAAGTACCCGTTGCTGGTTTCCCCTAGCAATCTCAATCTAATGTGAAATACACCAGTACTGAGTGACTGAGGTTGGGGAGAACTGGTATGACTCAATGCTTTGGGAATGTGTGGCCTTCGAAGGGACCGATGACCAAGTGCCTGCACTGCTGTCTCACGCTGATGAGCACGTGTCTGCCAAACTTACGTCCCGCACCGCTTCGTAGAGAGCTTTGAAGGTGGGCTGCTTGTCGTCGTGGTAGACGCCCCGGTTGCCATGCAGGACGGACACGCCTTCCCGCTCGGCCTCTTTGCAGTTGCTTCCGTACATGCAGTGGTCGGGGCGGTAGTTCCACTGGCAGGGGAACACATAGAGACACTCTGGTGGGGACAAGAGAAAGACATGTGTCCACCGTCAGCGCCAGCTGCCACCTGCGTGCCTGGCAGTTCAACTACCCTTTCTATTAACTGTACACGGCATATGATTGCAACATGCAGGAGTGTGACAGTGAGTCACGGGCCAGACTGCATCACACTTGTCAAAATTCTGAGGTCAAGAATTGAAGGGACACAGCGATGATGTAGGTTTCATCCACCGAAGGAAGCAAGGCAGTATAGCATCCTTTTTGTTGTTGTTGTTGAGACAGAGTCTCACTCTGTTGCCTCAGCTAGAGTGCGTGGCGTCAGCCTCGCTCACAGCAACCTCCAAATCCTGGGCTTAAGCGATCCTCCTGCCTCAGCCTCCCTCCCGAGTAGCTGGCACTACAGGCATGCGCCACCATGCCCGGCTCATTTTTTCTATATATTTTTAGTTGGCCAATTAATTTCTTTATAATTTTGGTAGAGATGGGGTCTGGCTCTTGCTCAGGCTGGTCTCAAACTCCTGACCTTGAGCAATCCGCCCACCTCGGCCTCCCAGAGTGCTAGGATTACAGGCGTGAGCCACCTCACCCGGCCCAGTATAGCATCTTGCACAAGAAGGCAAACACAGGCATCAGATAGCTTGGGTCAATCTCAACTCTCTTACTCACTCAAAACCAAGGAACTCTAGGTCTAGTAACTTAACTTCCCTGTACTTCAGTTTCTTCTGTAAAATGAAAATAACAGGATTTTCATCTTATTTGGATGACTACATTTTAAACATACAGGTAAAATGATTTGTAGACTGTCAACTACACTGTGGTGTTCAATAGTGTTAGCAGTTGCAATCAATTCTTTGTGAAATGGACAGACCCCAAAAATATACAAAGACTCCTCAGATTAAAAACAAGCAAATAAAAACAAAACAAAAGGGAAATGATAAAAAATGCCCCAATTACAACAGCAAAGGGAAAAAAACCAAAGCAAAAAGCAAAAAACAAACAAAAAACTCCCCAAACCCTATGCCAAGGTAACTCTATGCACTGTGGCTATATGTGTGCACATGTGTGTACATACATGTTTATCTCTAAAGAAGTAGTTCTTAACCAGGGCGGATTTTGCCCTCTCCCCATCTCCCCGGGGCTATTTGGCAACATTTGGAGGGAGACATTGTTGGTTGTTATACCAATAATGGGGGGGCGGGGGGCTGCTACCAGCATCTAGCAGGTGCTCTGGTTTTTTTTTTTTTTTTTTTTTTGAGACAGGGTCTCACTCTGTTACCTGGGCTAGAGTGCCATGGCATCAGCCTCGCTCACAGCAACCTCCAACTCCTGGGCTCAAGTGATCCTCCTGCCTCAGCCTCCCGAGTAGCTGGGACTGCAGGTATACACCACCATGTCCGGCCAATTTTTTCTAGATATTTTTAGTTGGCCAATGAATTTCTTTCTATTTTTAGTAGAGACGGGGTCTCGCTCTTGCTCAGGCTGGTCTTGAACTCCTGACCTTGAACGATCCTCCCACTTCAGCCTCCCAGAGTGCTAGGATGACAGGTGTGAGCCACGGCGCCCGGCCTAGCAGGTGTTGTAAATATCCTAAAGGGACCAGCGATGCTGTAAACATCCTACGAGGAACAGGACAGTCCCCTGCCAGGGTCGTAGCGCTGATGTTGAGAAACTGCCGTAATCCTGTGGGATTCGAAGAGCTTCCCTTTGGTGAACCAGGATTATACAATTAGCAACAAGTTCCTGACCCACTAGCTTCCTGGCTCCTCAGCTTGATGTCACTCAGGGCTGGGGTGGGAGGAGGGTGGATCAAAGCTCTCTGCAAACGTGTGTCACTGATCACGGGAAAGGCCCCGAGAAAGAGTGCACAGAAGGATCACGGTACGTCAATTACATGCCACTATGGGAAAAGCAACTTCCAGACGCGCTTGTCCCTTGGGTGCATGGCATTCTCTTCCCACGGGAAGGGTCGCTGCTTGGACATTACTCACACACAGCTAGAAGATGGAAAGCAAAGCACGAAGAGATGACCACACATCCCGTGGGGCAGACTGTGCCGGATGTGTCCCCGGTCCCATCTATCACGGACCCGTGACATCGAGGCACTCTCTGGCAAACTCCTAATTGTTCACAGCACGCCGTGACATCTTCCTTTTCTCAGGAGAACGCCATCCCACCTTGACGTCCCTCCTACTGGCGTGGACCTCCACACCCGCACATACATCGTCCCCACCTGGGATAGAATAGTGGTGCCCAAGCCACCCTACCTAGACTTGGATCACGACTCCTCTGTCAGCTGTGTGGCCTTCCTGCACTTCAGCGCAGAGGGTAGATGCGAGGATTAATGAATGAAAATCTACGAAAGTGCTTTTGAACCGTGCTGGCCACGGCCCAGGTGCTTCCCTTTGTCACTCACGGGTTACGTCGCTCCTTTGTGATGCCCGCCTGGGCATTTACGTTGCACTGTGTAAGCATCTGCTATAGTCCCCAGCTGGGAAAATAAAAAAAAACTGTCCCAGAGCCTTCTCTATTTTGTCAATATACTGATGGATTGAATCAACAACTGTTTATCAGATGCCTGTTGTATGTAGGGCAAAGCAAATAATATAAGAGTCCAGTCTCTGCCTTCAAGGACTTTATTTTTTTATTTTTATTTTTTTTGAACAGAGTCTCGCTTTGTTGCCCAGGCTAGAGTGAGTGCCGTGGCATTAGCCTCCTCCAACAGCAACCTCCAACTCCTGGGCTCAAGCGATCCTCCTGCCTCAGCCTCCCGAGTAGCTGGGACTACAGGCATGCGCCACCATGGCCGGCTAATTTTTTCTATATATATTAGTTGGCCAAGTAATTTCTTTCTTTTTTTTAAATTTTTAATAAAAAGTCTTCAGTGGTAATATTTTTTTAATTTTTAATAAAAAGAATTTCTTTCTATTTATAGTGGGGACAGGGTCTTGCTCTTGCTCAGGCTGGTTTTGAACTCCTGACCTTGAGCAATTCGTCCGCCTCAGCCTCCCACAGTGCTAGGATTACAGGCGTGAGCCACCGCGCCCGGCCCTTCAAGGACTTTACACCAGTGATGATGGTTTTTGTCACTTTCCAAGTAGTTTAAGAACCGACTATAAAAGAAAATCATTTCTCTCTTTGCAACCTCCTTAGGGGACTGAGCCCAGGGCAGAAGACACATACAAAAGGCATGGGCTTTGGAATCAGACGTCCCTAGGTTCCAATTTGGCTTCTACCCTTCCCCGGCTCTGCAACGTTGGTGAGTTACTGAAACATTCGACCTCAATTTAGAAGCAGTGAAGAGAAGTGAAATGATCCAGGTTTGAACCCCAGCCTTCCCGTGTGTTAGCTGTGACTTAACAGCAGAGTGGCGAAGACGGCGAGCTCTGTAGTCAACTCACTGGGTTTGAATATAAGATTGGTCACTAGTTGACTAAACTCAAATAAATTACGTAACTTTTATGTGCCTCAGTTTCGTCATCTGGAAACTAGGGGAAAATTGCAAATATTACCTGTCCAATAGGATTTAAAGGAGTATTAAATTTGAGTTTTATGTACGTGGTTGGAATGGGGGTTGGCATGTAGAAAGCACATAATAAATGGAAACTATAATGACTGCCATTATCATAGTTATTGTTACAACAAGAGCCACTGCACTGAGTTGCTGGCAGGGAAAAACAAGACAATTGAATGAGCTTCACATCATTTCTGGCGTGTAAATGGTATCCCTGCGATCAATGTTTTACTCCACTTGCTTTTTAGACATGCAGGTAGCCTGTTACTCTTAGCCTTTTAGGGGGCGCAGATCTCCCTGAGAATCTAATGAAAGCTTCACACCCCGACTTTGGGAAAATACAACTGGGTACATAGAAAGAACATTTGCTTCCAAGATCAGGGATCTGTAGACCTCCTAAAGACCAGCTAAGAACCCCAGTTGTCAAACTTAAAATAGCACACGAGATTCCAGACAGAATTCAATTCACATTTTTACATCTGCCTCTCCGAATTTTCTAGAACAAGAAACACAAAATAGACTGAGCATAAAAGTGGAATAATTATTCATTCGCCACATGATTGTGAGGCATTGGTGGCGCAATGAGTGTGGATGCATCGTTATCATAAAAAGCAAACAAGTCAATAAACAAAAGGAATTAAAACTTTGTGAAGAAAAAAAAAAGGGGGGGAATTTATACTGTCATAAGGGAGATGGCATAAAACACAGTGTGGTCAAAGTGAACACATTGCATCAGGGGTCACAGAAAGGAGAGTTCATGCCCGGGAGGTGAGATGAGAGGAAGTTTCACTGAATCTCAGACTTTTCGGGAAGCTGGAATTCTGACAGTCAGAAACAATGGCCTGATGGTGGTAAAAGGTTTGGAAACCAGCGTGCATTTTAGAAAGGATGAGCCGTCTTAGTTTTGCTGGGGCAAAGGTGATCTCTTCGAAGGAGAAGATAATAAGGGAAATATTGTCAAATAAATACATTGCTTTCACCTAAATATTCAAGAAATAGAAATCTATATTAGATTGCATGTAACCAACTTTGGTTCTAGTTTGAGAAGCAAAAAAAGAAAGAGATTTTTTTTGTTTCGAAAGGAGATGGAATAGCTCATAAAAGCAGAGATGAAGCTGATTGGTGCAGCTCCCGGGGTCCGGGCAATGGGAATTAATGAATGTCAGCTTGCCAAATTGCTGCCACCGTAAACCAGCGTGGCCACTTTCTGCTCTTGGGCTCTCAAACTTCAGTTCCCAATATTTTTTCAAGCCAACCTATCTTCAAACCTTTGGTCTTTGCTATATTTCTCTCAATTTTACATATATAAAGAAGCTCATTCACTGATCATCTATGAGTCTGCAATGCCTTAGTGATACCTTTAGGGGTCTACAGTTTCTTCCACAGCCTCCTGACTCTTTGCAAAGCATTGTGCCAATTGATGACTCCTTACATTTCTAATTATTTCATACTCTTGGGGTCTCTAAAATTATGAAATAGTTTATGCCCCACCATTAAAAAAAATA